GTACTCAATACATACACAAAGGTTGCTCAGTGATCATGGATGATCATGGATTTTGCTAGATCAGTTATGAACTATAGTTCACACATTTCTTGCACTCATTCAGAAACCCTTCTAGAAATGAGCTGTCGAAGCCCGTTTCATTAGGATGTAGCAACCTTTGCATATGACTTTTCTTATTTGGACGTATTCACAACTGTAAAACTTTAACATCAAGTGTCTTGGTTCTAGATACTGTGAAAGGCTAGACGGTAAATCCTCTAGAAACAATAGAATAGGTCTTGAGTGCTTTAAGCGTAATCTGAAGATCTTAAAGCTGTTCTGAACAGTTAAGCTGTTGACACCTTTCCAAAGTCATTCGAAATTCGGATAAATTTATTATAAAGCCATTGGAACGCATAGCAATGATTCAAAATTCATTTTTGTTCCAAATAATTCAATCGGGGAAAGCATTGAGGTGAAAAAAAGTGCGGACAATTATTATTTTTTGCGATTCAAATTCTAATGACTGAATTTGATTAAACTAGCCGGTCTATATTAAATTTGTTAGTTTGATAGATACAAATCACCACAAAATGACAACCATCTTAGATTACATTTGAGCATAAACTTTTTTTATCATAAATCATTAACTGAACATCAAACATCTTCTTTATTCTACTAGTTCGTTGGAAACATTCAACATTTCTCGTCTTTTAGGTATCCAAGTTGACACAGAAATTTGGATCGATGTTGATAACGGAACGATATTAGAGGGAACCAAAAATTATTTCATTATCATAGTCTGATATATCAAATTATTTTCTTTCATGATTTTATCTATTTCCTGAAATATAAGGTGTATTTTCCATCTGATTTTATTATCCATTTAAATATTAATATAAAAATGACCTCATTGATACGACATTTTCGGTTGTATATATTATTGTTATGAATCTTATATCGATTTTAACGATAATTCATAAACTACTCTTCTCTTTTATTACCATGAACTAAACCACAACTCGAGCATAAACGTGTGTCATTGTCATGAATAATTTCTATCTTATAACAACTTCCTTATTATTATTTACATACTCTTCTAATTTAAAGTTACAAAAAGGGCATGTAAGACAGTCATCATTTTTATTTCATCATGAATTTCTAAATTACAATGGATCCTACAAAATATAATGACATTAATGTTATGTAAAAAAAAATGACATAGAAGAACGAGATGTATCCTTTGACATTTCTCTGGTTTTTTTGTGATTTCGTAAAATAATATCACAGATGTTTCTTTTTTTCGTGAAGATTTTTTTTGGAAACTATAATTTTATTTTTTTTACAAGAATCATGATTGAAAATTTTCTTATGCATAAAGTATAACTTTTTGGGGTTTTTAAAATAGTTTCTATCAAATTTTACGTAGTATTGAGTAGACTTCGAAGTCATTTTCAAATTGATCTCGCAACGCCAACTTTCTATTCTACTCACGCGCCCCACGAGCCATCAACTGAAAAAAAAAAAAGAAATTAGATGTTCAGAGATCGTGACATTGTTGAAATGAGAATAATCTGACAGTTGAAAGGATTCGCCTTGGAAGAAGTTATTGCTCAGTCAAGACGTGTGCATTCCTTCTGTTCAACTCCTAAACTTTTGAAGTCTTCCTCCCGCGCCCAATTTAGGAGGTTGAACAAAGGATGCCATATAGAGAGGCCAGGAAAACTTGCTTGCTCATGCCCAGAGCACCATCTGGTATTAGCCCCTATTTAATGCGCGCAAAGGAGGCACTAAACTTCAAATATGCGTAAACAAGCCAATAATTCTATAGAAACTTTGTTTCTGTTTGTATTCCACTTAAGTATCATAACCATCATGAGCTAACCAAGTAAGCCAGTGAGGTGAAGTTACTCAAAAAACGGGATTCATGTTTCTTTCAATTGTCATTATCTGAGTAATCTTGGATCATCCATACAGATCTGAGTTATACCAACGAATCACACTCCTAATATGTGACAGAAAATTTTAAATTACTCAAAGACTTAATTGGTAAGACAAGTTGAAATTTAGTAACTAACCAGGGGCAGAGCAGCCGTATAATTCCAGTCGGAGACAGGAAACATTCATAAGAGACGCATCGCCATCCAAAGATAATGGAAACTTTGGGTAGATACGGACTGAACGTGTTCTA